CCGCAGACCTGGCACCCGCCGACCTGGCGCCCGCCGACCTAGCACCCGCCGACCTGGCACCCGCCGACCTTGCACCCGCAGACCTGGCACCCGCCGACCTAGCACCCGCCGACCTAGCACCCGCCGACCTGGCACCCACCCGACCTGGCACCCGCCGACCTAGAACCCACCGACCTGGCACCCGCCGACCTAGCACCCGCCGACCTAGCACCCACCGACCTGGCACCCGCCGACCTAGCACCCGCCGACCTAGCACCCGCCGACCTAGCACCCGCCGACCTGGCACCCGCCGACCTAGCACCCGCCGACCTAGCACCCGCCGACTTCGCACCCGCCGACCTAGCACCCACCGACCTAGCACCCGCCTATCTAGCACCCGCCGACCTGGCACCCGCCGACCTGGCACCCGCCGACCTAGCACCCGCCGACTTAGCACCCGCCGACCTGGCACCCGCTGACCTGGCACCCGCCGACCTGGCACCCGCCGACCTAGCACCCGCCGACCTGGCACCCGCCGACCTAGCACCCGCCGACCTGGCACCCGCCGACCTGGCACCCGCCGACCTGGCACCCACCGACCTAGCACCCGCCGACCTAGAACCCACCGACCTGGCACCCGCCGACCTAGCACCCACCGACCTAGCACCCGCCGACCTAGCACCCGCCGACCTAGCACCCGCCGACCTGGCACCCGCCGACCTAGCACCCGCCGACCTGGCACCCGCCGACCTGGCACCCGCCGACCTAGCACCCGCCGACCTAGCACCCGCCGACCTAGCACCCGCCGACCTGGCACCCGCCGACCTGGCACCCACCGACCTGGCACCCGCCGACCTCGCACCCACCGACCTGGCACCCACCGACCTGGCACCCGCCGACCTAGCACCCGCCGACCTAGCACCCGCCGACCTGGCACCCACCGACCTAGCACCCGCCGACCTAGCACCCGCCGACCTAGCACCCGCCGACCTAGCACCCGCCGACCTGGCACCCGCCGACCTAGCACCCGCCGACCTAGCACCCACCGACCTAGCACCCGCCGACCTGGCACCCGCCGACCTAGCACCCGCCGACCTGGCACCCGCCGACCTGGCACCCGCCGACCTAGCACCCGCCGACCTGGCACCCGCCGACCTGGCACCCGCCGACCTGGCACCCGCCGACCTAGCACCCACCGACCTGGCACCTGCCGACCTCGCACCCACCGACCTCGCCCCCGCCGACCTAGCCCCCACCGACCTGGCACCCGCCGACCTCGCACCCGCCGACCTGGCACCCGCCGACCTAGCACCCGCCGACCTAGCACCCGCCGACCTGGCACCCGCCGACCTAGCACCCACCGACCTAGCACCCGCCGACCTAGCACCCGCCGACCTAGCACCCGCCGACCTGGCACCCGCCGACCTAGCACCCGCCGACCTGGCACCCGCCGACCTGGCACCCGCCGACCTAGCACCCGCCGACCTAGCACCCGCCGACCTGGCACCCGCCGACCTGGCACCCGCCGACCTAGCACCCGCCGACCTGGCACCCGCCGACCTCGCACCCGCCGACCTCGCCCCCGCCGACCTAGCCCCCGCCGACCTCGCACCCGCCGACCTCGCACCCGCCGACCTCGCACCCGCCGACCTGGCACCCGCCGACCTGGCACCCGCCGACCTCGCACCCGCCGACCTAGCACCCGCCGACCTGGCACCCGCCGACCTAGCACCCGCCGACCTAGCACCCGCCGACCTGGCACCCGCCGACCTAGCACCCACCGACCTAGCACCCGCCGACCTGGCACCCGCCGACTTAGCACCCACCGAACTAGCACCTGCCGACCTGGCACCCGCCGACCTAGCATCCGCCGACCTAGCACCCACCGACCTAGCACCTACCGACCTAGCACCCGCCGACCTAGCACCCGCCGACCTAGCACCCACCGACCTAGCACCCGCCGACCTAGCACCCACCGACCTAGCACCCGCCGACCTAGCACCCGCCGACCTGGCACCCACCGACCTAGCACCCGCCGACCTAGCACCCGCCGACCTAGCACCCACCGACCTAGCACCCGCCGACCTAGCACCCGCCGACCTGGCACCCACCGACCTAGCACCCGCCGACCTAGCACCCGCCGACCTAGAACCCGCCGACCTAGCACCCGCCGACCTAGCACCCGCCGACCGAGCACCCGCCGACCTGGCACCCGCCGACCTGGCACCCGCCGACCTAGCACCCGCCGACCTAGCGCCCGCCGACCTAGCACCCACCGACCTGGCACCCACCGACCTGGCACCCGCCGACCTGGCACCCGCCGACCTAGCACCCACCGACCTAGCACCCACCGACCTAGGCCTAGCACCCACCGACCTAGCACCCGCCGACCTAGCACCCGCCGACCTAGCACCCGACGACATAGCACCCGCCGACCTGGTACCCGCCGACCTAGCACCCACCGACCCAGCACCCGCCGACCTGGCACCCGCCGACCTAGCACCCACCGACCTAGCACCCGCCGACCTAGCACCCACCGACCTAGCACCCGCCGACCTAGCACCCGCCGACCTAGCACCCGCCGACCTAGCACCCACCGACCTAGCACCCCGCCGACCTAGCACCCCGCCGACCTAGCACCCCGCCGACCTAGCAGCCGCCGACCTCGCCCCCGCCGACCTGGCACCCGCCGACCTCGCACCCGCCGACCTGGCACCCGCCGACCTAGCACCCACCGACCTAGCACCCGCCTACCTAGGACCTAGCAACCGCCGACCTAGCACCCGCTGACCTGGCACCCGCCGACCTAGCACCCACCGACCTAGCACCCGCCGACCTGGCACCCGCCGACCTAGCACCCGCCGACCTAGCACCCGCCGACCTGGCACCCGCCGACCTGGCACCCGCCGACCTAGCACCCACCGACCTAGCACCCGCCGACCTAGCACCCGCCGACCTAGCACCCGCCGACCTAGCACCCACCGACCTAGCACCCCGCCGACCTAGCACCCCGCCGACCTAGCACCCCGCCGACCTAGCACCCGCCGACCTAGCACCCGCCGACCTGGCACCCGCCGACCTAGCACCCGCCGACCTAGCGCCCGCCGACCTAGCACCCACCGACCTGGCACCCACCGACCTGGCACCCGCCGACCTGGCACCCGCCGACCTAGCACCCACCGACCTAGCACCCACCGACCTAGGCCTAGCACCCACCGACCTAGCACCCGCCGACCTAGCACCCGCCGACCTAGCACCCGACGACCTAGCACCCGCCGACCTGGTACCCGCCGACCTAGCACCCACCGACCCAGCACCCGCCGACCTGGCACCCGCCGACCTAGCACCCACCGACCTAGCACCCGCCGACCTAGCACCCACCGACCTAGCACCCGCCGACCTAGCACCCGCCGACCTAGCACCCGCCGACCTAGCACCCACCGACCTAGCACCCCGCCGACCTAGCACCCCGCCGACCTAGCACCCCGCCGACCTAGCACCCGCCGACCTAGCACCCGCCGACCTGGCACCCGCCGACCTAGCACCCACCGACCTGGCACCCGCCGACCTAGCACCCACCGACCTAGCACCCACCGACCTAGGACCTAGCAACCGCCGACCTAGCACCCGCTGACCTGGCACCCGCCGACCTAGCACCCACCGACCTAGCACCCGCCGACCTGGCACCCGCCGACCTAGCACCCGCCGACCTAGCACCCGCCGACCTGGCACCCGCCGACCTGGCACCCGCCGACCTAGCACCCACCGACCTAGCACCCGCCGACCTAGCACCCGCCGACCTAGCACCCGCCGACCTAGCACCCACCGACCTAGCACCCCGCCGACCTAGCACCCCGCCGACCTAGCACCCCGCCGACCTAGCACCCGCCGACCTAGCACCCGCCGACCTGGCACCCGCCGACCTAGCACCCACCGACCTGGCACCCGCCGACCTAGCACCCACCGACCTAGCACCCACCGACCTAGGACCTAGCAACCGCCGACCTCGCACCCGCCGACCTGGCACCCGCCGACCTAGCACCCGCCGACCTAGCACCCGCCGACCTGGCACCCGCCGACCTGGCACCCGCCGACCTTGCACCCGCCGACCTGGCACCCGCCGACCTAGCACCCGCCGACCTAGCACCCACTGACCTGGCACCCGCCGACCTGGCACCCGCTGACCTGGCACCCGCCGACCTCGCACCCGCCGACCTAGCACCCGCCGACCTGGCACCCGCCGACCTCGCACCCGCCGACCTAGCATCCGCCGACCTGGCACCCGCCGACCTCGCACCCGCCGACCTGGCACCCGCCGACCTAGCACCCGCCGACCTCGCACCCGCCGACCTGGCACCCGCCGACCTGGCACCCGCCGACCTAGCACCCGCCGACCTGGCACCCGCCGACCTGGCACCCGCCGACCTTGCACCCGCCGACCTAGCACCCGCCGACCTGAAGTGGCAGGGGCGAGGGTTCTGAGGTGGCAGGGGCGAGGTTTTGAAGTGGCAAGGTCGAGGGTAGTGAGGTGGCAGGGGCAAGGGTTTTGAGGTGGCAGGGGCGAGGGTTCTGGATGCCCTCGCCCCTGCCACCTCAACGCCCTCGCCCCTTCCCACGTTGACTTAGCAGGCAGGTACCTAACCAAAGGTCCCAAACAAAAGGCAGCAGCACTTCACCTTGTTTATTTCTTGTTTTAGAGGTCCTCTGGAGGGCTTCCTGAAGTTGTCCTTACCACTCCATCCGCAACATGCCACGCCAGCCTAGCCTTCCGTCCGCTTGCTTTTTGAGGGTAGTGCCTATGCCACTAGCCAGTAAGCTGACGTTTGGCTTTGACAGCCATCCCAAGCCGGGCGAACATTGCGCCAGCCCCTTCGTCGCCCACCCATCCATGCTAGCATTGGCACAGCCAATGAACTAGATAAAAGCGAAAGGCCACGTGGCAGAACAGCAATTACCAGTACCATTGTCACGTAGCTTAATCGATGAGCACTGCGCACTTTTGTTTTCCTCATGGCGTGTACGGAACGAACGATACAACCGTCAAAAAAGCGGAAACAGAAACAGCCCTAGATGACGTGGCTAACTCTTACTTTGTGTGCTTCATAGGGTGGAATATTGTTGGTAGTCCACGTTTCTACTCTTTTCGTCGGAACGACGCTCGACGAAGCTGAATTGCAGCACCATTCATTTGACCGTGCCTTAGGACATAGCAACAACTGCATAGTGCAGCACCAGTGCGCCGCAGTTAGCGGCGCTTGCCGCTGCGGCGGATCGAGCTAGTTCTTTGCCCATTTACCAGCGGTCTCAAAGGAGCTAGCAAAGATGTCTAACAAGGAGAAGGGAGGTGCTGAGGCGTATGCTCGCTTCAAGCAGTTTGATTACAAAGCGGTAAGTTAACTTTCTGCGCAAAGTATGCCGACCCTGGGCCGATGTGCTTACAGGCCGACACGGCCATAGGATTTTAGGATCTTAAATATGGCAGTATTTTCGCATGCTCTAAAATGGTCTGGGTAACGGTGATCCCAGCTTTCTGGCGGCGGATGGCTTGCCTATTGTTTGCCCAGCCGGTCTTAATGTCTATTGTTAGCTGCACGGGTATGAGCATATAGCAGCCTTTCATATTTGGCTCCTGTCTGGCTCGAACTTCCAAACTAAAGCCTGACGTTGACACGCATCCCAATCTGACCCATAAAGCGCAAAGAAAGCTGTTTACTCCCTTCTGAACCCCGCGCCTTGCCGCCAAATAACAACCCCGTCGCTTCAGAACCCTTGGCCCCTCCATTACCTCCCGTACTAACCACTTGCCCATTCCTCACCCATCCCCATCGCTCCTCCTCCGCCCCTACCAGAACTCCTCGCTGGTGCTTACCTCCGACACCCGCACCCGCGAGTATGCCACGGAGCCCAGCGGTGAGCCGGAGACGCTATGGGGCCGCATGAAGGGCAAGATGGGCGACCGCGCGCAAACAACAAAACCCGATGCCGAGCGCAAGGAGAAGGCGGCTAAGAAGAAGCGCGACGCCGCCGCTGCTGAGCTGGAGCTGGCTGTGCCCACTTCCAAGGGGGGCGGCAGGGGGGCCAGGAGGGGCGGAGGAGGTGGTGCAGGAGGGATGAGCGTGCTGGATTTGGAGCAGGTGAGGGCGGGTGGGATTTGGGAGGGCGGTTAGGTGGGGATTAGGGATAGGAAGGAAGGGCGGTGGGGAGGGAGAGGAGGGGGGCCATGGGCGTGCCGGGTTTGGGCGGCGTAGGTAGGCAGGGTCAGTGTAGAGAGGAGTGGAGGCGTAGCGTGGTAGACGGGCAACGGGATGCGGGGGGTGCAGGCCCCCTCAGGGTGCCCCGCTGCGGCTGTAGCTGCTGCCCTAGCCGCCCTCCCACTTAACCTCCCACTTAACTCCCCACGCCCCACCCACCCCAGGGCGGCCTGTACCGTCCCCGCACCAAGGAGACGCGGGAGGCCTACGAGGCGCTGCTGGCCGTGATCCACTCGCTGTTCGGGGAGCAGCCGCAGGTGCAGGGGAGGGAGGCAGGAGTGGATAGGGGGTGTGGGAGGAGGAAAGCAACACGCCGTGTGGGATGCCCGAGGATAGGGTGGAGGGGAAAGGTGGTGTGGGGGGAGCAGTGGCAAGCAGCCAGTTGCACGACACTTATGGAATCCTAGGTTGGCCCACTCCTCCCCCCCCCCCCCACGCCCACCACTCCCCACCCTGCCTCCCCCCCAGGACGTGCTCCGCGGCGCCGCTGACGAGGTGCTGGCGGTGCTGAAGCGCGCCGACCTGCGCGACCCGGAGCGGCAGCGCGAGTGCGGGCAGCTGCTGGGCGGGTGCGAGGACGACATGTTCGCGCGGCTGGTGGCGCTGGGGAAGCGGATCACGGACTATGTGACGGAGGCGGAGGTGAGGGGAGGGTAAAAAATATGTAATGAGACACTGACGAAGCAACTGACGAGCTGAGGGAGTTGAGGGGAGGGGAGGGTGGGGAAGGGGGCTGGGTGAGGGAGCTGTATCTCCATGCCTCCTCCCTTCCCGCCATGTGTTCCACCCCTGTACTCCCCTCCCCATCTCCTCCCCTCCCCTGGCCCCCCCCCCCAGGCTGCCCCCGGTGACACGATGGATGAGGAGCTGGGTGTGGCGGTGGAGTTCGAGGAGGAGGAGGACGAGGAGGAGGAGGAGGCGGACGAGGTGGGTGCGTGTGTGTGCGTTTTGGAGGGGGTTGGGAGGGGAGTGGGTGGGTGGGGGAAGAGAGACGCGGGGTGGTGTCAGGGAAGGTGTGCGGTTGGGAAGAACCTGGGCAGTACCGGTAGCGTCCATAGAATGGGCGGAGGCGGTTTCCGGTGCATGACGGCGCATGTGCATGTGCTTGCATGAACCCACTCAACCTCAGCCTCCCGCCCCTCCTGCTGCTGCGCTGTCCCCCACCCGCAGGTGTTGGATGTGGACGAGGACGATGAGGGTGACGAGCAGCAGCGGCAGGAGGCGGACCTGCGCACCACCACCATGGTGAGGGGAGGGGGCGGGGGGGAGGCGTTGCGTGGGGGACCGAAAAAAGGGGCGGAAAAGAGGATGAAACGCTCTAAGCATGTGACACAAAGCCGACATAGGCTCCACCTTGGGTTGCAACATGGCTGCCGACCCTTACCGATGGGGAAAGGGTTGAGGCGTGCAAGAGCGGGAGGATTGAGAGAGGCAAGCCCAACTCGTGCGGCAGGGCATCACCATGCGGAGTGCGGGAGAGAAGGAGGGTGGTGGTCAGGTGGAGGAGGGGCGGCGGAGGGTGGCAGCAGCAGCAGTGCTGTTAGCACACCCTCACACGCACGCAATACCCACCACCGCATCACCCCCTCCCACCCCCTCCCTTCCCCCAGGACGATGTTGACGCGGGCGAGGAGGCTCGTGACGAGGGTCTCAAGGTGCAGGAGGTGGACGCGTACTGGCTGCAGCGCCGCATTGCCCGCGCGCTGGGGCCGAGCGTGGAGGCCACGCGGGCGCAGGCGCTGGCGGAGCAGGTGGGCGGGGGGGCGTGTAAGGGTCGTGAAAGGGGCGGGGACTGTGGGGGTCTGAAAGGGGTGATTTGGTGTGTGAGCACCCCTCCAGGAGATGCAGTGGTTGCGGGGAGTGACGAGTGGCGAGGCAAGGAGTTGCTGGGGTCTCATGCCATGGTTACACCCGCCCCGCATCCTGCTGCCCCCCTCTCCCCCCCTCCACAGGTGCTCTCCGTGCTGGGCGGCCCCGACGACCAGCGCGCCGTGGAGAACGAGCTGGTGCTAAGCCTGGGCTTCGAGCACTTTGAGCTGATCAAGGAGCTCATCCGGAACAGGTGGGGGGTTGGCAGGGGCTGGGGGTGGACGGGAACTGGTCTGGGGGGGGCGGTGTGGATTCATCGGTGTAAACCACCACCTTTCCCGCGTCTCCCCATCTTCTTGGTCACAAACCCACCCCATTCGCTCTCCCTTCCTTCCCTTCCCCTTTCCTACTTAACCACACCCTCCCCCCTCCCCTCTTCCCATGCGCTCACTGCATGAGTCGGGATATGGGATTGGGACTTAGTTGTTTGCATTTCTTATATAATTTTCCCCTCTTCCCAGGCTCAAGATCGTGTGGTGCACGCGCCTCTCCCGCGCCGAGACCGACGAGGAGCGCGGCCGCATCGAGGCGGAGATGGGCGGCTCCCCCGACACGGGAGCCATCCTGGCGGCGCTGCGGGCCACCCGCACCTCGGCGCGCGACCGGCAGAGCGCCATGGAGCGCAGCATCAGGGAGGAGGCGCGGAAGCTGAGGCAGGGGGAGGCGGGTGAGTGGAGCGACCCGTGGGTCGGGAGGCGTCGGGTTAGTGTGGCAGCTGCGATCAAATCACCTTACTGTAATATAGTAAGCACTGCTTACCATTGTTATGCACTTACCTTGCTACTCATCCGTGCTGATTATTCGGGACCCTCTCTTTACTCGTCACCCCCTCGCCCGCCCTCACCCCCCTCCCCCCTGCAGGTGTCCGCGGCGAGGGCGGTGCGGGCGGTGTGTCCGCGGGCCGCCACCAGGTGGCCCTGGACTCGCTGGCGTTCCGGCAGGGGGCGCACCTCATGAGCAACAAGAGCGTGGCGCTGCCGCAGGTGGGGGCGGGCGGGGGGAGAGGGGGGCGGGGATAAGGGGGCAGGGAGGGGGGCGCTGCCTGGAAAGGACAGACTGATGGGGTTTTGGGTTTTGGGTTTGCTTTTCACCCCTTGTCGTGGCGCTTGGCCCGCCGACAACCCGCTGCGCCTCGTCCCCTCCTTCACCGGCATCATCCGTGTCCGTGCGCAGAGTGCTGTTCCGCCCAACGTACCACCCGCCAACTTCGTCCTTCCTTCACGCCCTTACCGGTATCCCCCTTCTCCTCTTCCCCCTCCTCCCTTCCTCTCCACCCTCCCCCCCAGGGCTCCCAGCGTCGCGCCTACAAGGGGTACGAGGAGGTGGAGGTGCCGGCGCTGAAGCCCAAGCCCTTCGGCGAGGGCGAGAAGCTGAAGAAGATCTCGGAGCTGCCCGAGTGGTCTCGGGGCGCGTTTGCGGGCATGGAGCAGCTGAACCGCATCCAGAGCCGCGTGGCGGACTGCGCGCTGTTCAGCGGGGAGAACATGCTGGTGTGCGCACCCACGGGTGAGGGAGGGGTTTGAGGGGGGGAGGGGCGGGGAAAGGGGGGAAGGGAGGATAGTAACGAGCTGTATGACGGGGAAGGCCGACTGAGCGTGAGGACCGTGGGAGGACCGGAAGATGGTGGCATACCAGGGAAGAGGGTGGGGAGGAGCACTTCTGTCCAGCCTCTGCTTTCTACTCCTCATACCCTTCATAACCCTTCTCCTCTCCTCCCCCCCCCCCCGCGCAGGTGCTGGTAAGACCAACGTCGCCATGCTGTGTGTCATGCACGAGCTGGGGCTGCACCTGCGGCCGGACGGCACCATTGACACCTCCGCATTCAAGATTGTGTATGTGGCGCCCATGAAGGTAAGGGGGAGGGGGAGGGGAGGAAGTGATGGGCTGTACGACATGTAGGCTTCACCATGGGGGGGGGTAAAAATAAGGAAAACTGACGAACTGAAAACACTGGGGCAAACATAAGGGAGGGGATGGAGGAAGAGAGGGAGGAGAGGCCGAGAGGGGAAGATGGGTGCGGGTAGAGGATGCGTGTTTGTGGGGGGATCCGACAGGACCTTGATAGGACATCGAAGATGGAGGCCTGACCACCGTACTTTACTGCTACCTCCTAACATCTACAACCACACCGCCACACACCCCTCTCCCCCCCCTCCCTCCCTCCCCCCCAGGCCCTGGTGGCTGAGATGGTGGGTAACTTCAGCAAGCGGCTGACCGAGGCCTACGGCATCAAGGTGCGCGAGCTGACGGGCGACATCAACCTGAGCAAGGCGGAGATCGAGGAGACGCAGATCATCGTGACCACCCCCGAGAAGTGGGACATCATCACGCGCAAGTCGGATGACAGGACGTACGCCAACCTGGTAGGGAGAGGGAGGGGAAGGGAAGGGAGGGTGGGAGGGGAGGGGGGAAGGAAAGGAGGGGAGGGGGGGAGGAAGGTAGGGAGGAAAGGGGGTCTGGAAGCCGGCAGCAGGAGGAGGGCGAGTGGCGGTCTGACCTGCTACCACCCCCCCACGCTCACGCTCACTCTCGACTCACGGATTCCCCCTCGGGTTTGTCAGCTAGTTTACCACTACCACACCGCACATTGGAATTTCTTCTCCCCCCCCCCTCTCTCCTCCCCCCCATTTCTTTTTTCCCCCCCAGGTCCGGCTGCTTATCATCGATGAGATCCACCTGCTGCACGACGACCGCGGACCCGTGCTGGAGTCCATCATTGCGAGGACCATTCGACAGGTGGTGGGGGTAGGGGAGAGGGGGGGGGGGTGCAGACGGGCGATGGCAGACGGGAAAGTGGCTGGCGACGCCGGCTGTACCTCTATAGAGGGTTGCGACACATACTCTTGCTGTCTCACCTGTCCCCTTGTTCACCTCTCCTGAATCCCTGGGTATTCTCCCCCCCCCTGCAGGTTGAGTCGACCCAGGAGATGACCCGCATCGTGGGGCTGTCCGCCACCCTGCCCAACTACGAGGACGTGGCGGTGTTCCTGCGGTGAGGGGTGGGGGGTTGGGACTGAGGGAGGGAGGAAGAAGACGTACTGGGCCATGGAAGGGGGGCAGGGGAGAGGAGGTGGGAGGTGAGGAGTCGGTCCCCTCTTTAGCCTGTCTGGACGGCGTCAGGAGTTGTCACGGTGACGTGGACTCCTGCTCCAGCAGCTGCCTCCGGGTCGGTGGAGCTGTCACAGACCAATGCGTCCATGCCTTCAGCCCCCCCCCCGCGCTTCCGCTCCATGGTGGTCTCCTATGGTTGGTATGATCTTTGACCCCCGCTTCCGCTTCGGCAGTTTCCTTACTTTTACTTCCCGCTTCCTAACCTCCTCCTCCCTCCTCCTCCCCTTCCTCCTCCCCCCTCCCCAACCCAGCGTGAAGCCCGACAAGGGCCTCTTCTACTTTGACAACTCCTACCGCCCCTGCCCGCTGGCGCAGCAGTACATCGGCGTGAGCGTGAAGAAGCCGCTGCAGCGCTTCCAGCTCATGAACGAGATCTGCTACAACAAGGTGCGGGGAGGAGGGGGGCGGGAGGGAGGGGAGGCGGGAGGGGGGGAGGAGGGGCTGTGTCGAGGGGGGGGACGATAAGGGAGAGGATGGACCTGGGAGCAGCTACCGGCTCACCACACACCAGTCCCCTTGAAGCGCACTTGGTGGCACTTGGTTGGTGGGAGCGGTGCTCTAAGCCTTCCCTCAGGACAACAACCTTGTTCCCTCATCACCCTATCCTCATGCCTCCCCCCCCTCCTCCCCCTCCTCCCCCCACCACCAGGTGCTGGAGTGCGCCGGGCGGCACCAGGTGCTTGTGTTCGTGCACAGCCGCAAGGAGACCGCCAAGACGGCGCGCTACGTGAAGGAGACGGCGCTAGCGGCGGACGTGCTGACCAGGTTCATGCGCAGCGACAGCGCAAGCAGGGAGATCCTGCAGACGGAGGTGAGGGAGGGGGGGAGAGGGAAGGTGGTGTGTAAAGTCGTCGTCCTTTAAACTTGACGCGTACGGGGTAAACGTAATGTGTACGGGGCTACCAGCCGCTGCTGGGTGCTCCTTGTGGCCACCCGGGCACCTTCCTTAGCGCCCCCCCCCCCACCCCCTAGGAGCGCTTCACCTGGGTTTCGCCACTACCACTTAACTCCTTGAATCTTCTTGTCCTCGACCCCCCCCCTAATTTTCCCCCCCTTCCCCCTCCCAGGCTGAGAACTGCAAGGACAGCGACCTGCGCGACCTGCTGCCCTTTGGGTTCGCCATCCACCACGCCGGCATGAGCCGCGCCGACCGCACCCTGGTGGAGGACCTGTTCGCGGATGGACACGTGCAGGTGGGGGAGAGGGGCGGGGATGGGAGGAGGAATGCGTGTGTGTTTTTGTTCTGGTTCATTTTTGAGATCCTCCTCAGTGTGTACCCCTTTAGGTGTGTCACCATGCGCACGCATCTCAATGTTTAATGTGTTTCCTCATCCTCCTCCCCGCCCTCCCCCGCCTCCCCCAGGTGCTTGTCAGCACCGCCACCCTGGCCTGGGGTGTGAACCTGCCGGCCCACACGGTGGTGATCAAGGGCACGCAGATCTACAACCCGGTCAAGGGCGCGTGGGACGAGCTGAGCCCGCAGGACGTGATGCAGATGATGGGGCGAGCGGGCAGGCCGCAGTTCGACTCGTTCGGTGAGCAGCGGGGGGGAGGGAAGGGGAAAATAGCAATAAGTGCAAGGGGAGGGAGGGGTATATGTCAGTAGTAGTAGCATCGACACCCAGGGAGGAGAGGAGGGGTTGCTAAGTGGTTGGGTAAGTGAGCTAGGGGCAGGAACTTGGGTGTAAAAGGCGTGTATGTGTACGTGTGTCCCTGACACCAGCTTGATGGCTCTCACACTGCTTGCAAACCGCCCCCCCCACCCCTCCCTCACATGTCAGGCGAGGGCATCATTATCACGGGCCACTCCGAGCTGCAGTTCTACCTCTCCCTCTTCAACCAGCAGCTGCCCATTGAGAGCCAGTTCGTGAAGGCGCTGGCGGACAACATGAACGCGGAGGTGGTGCTGGGGACGGTGTCGGTGAGTGGGGGGGAGGGAGAGAGGGGGAAGTTATGGGGTAGGGAGAGGGGGGAGGGGCACGGGAAGCAGCAAGAGGATTACCGATAGCCACCGCCCGTTGGGAGCCAACCCCATGCACGTTACCCCTTCTTGTTTCCCACCCTTCCCCCTCCCAGAACCTGAAGGACGCCGCCCACTGGCTGGGCTACACCTACCTCTATGTGCGCATGCTGCGCTCCCCCGCACTCTACGGAGTGCCCCCCGCGGACCTGGACACCGACCCGCTGCTGCAGGTGTGTGTGGGGGGGGGAGCTGGGGGAGGGGAGGGCGATGCAAGGAAACCCAGCCGGGTGGGGGTTTTGAGGCAAGAGGGAGGCACATGGTTGGTTTTTGCCTCTCCGCCGTTGTATGGCTGTGCCCTTGTGTTTTCTGTACATTCTGGCCTGTCTCAACACCCGAGTTTTCCGGTAGAAAGCTACCCGAGAATGGCTATGTCCTCCACCTACTGTTCTTCCACCTACTCCTGTTTTTCATGCACTAGTCGCGGTTTAGTCTGGTAGCCAACACTGCCTCCCCTCCTCTCCCCCTCCTCCCCTCCCATCCCCCTCCTCCCCTCCCATCCCCCTCCCCCCCCCCCAGGACCGGCGTCTGGACCTGGCCCACAGCGCCGCGCTGCTGCTGGACAAGCACGGACTGGTCCGCTACGACCGCAAGACGGGCAACTTCCAGGTAGGGGGGAAGGGGGGCCGAGGTGGGAGGAAAACAAAAAGACGTGGGCTTGTGAGTGGCAGAGGGGACGAGGGGTGCGACGGGGCGGGGCCATGGCAATGGGGCAATGCAGGGCGGCAGGTTCATACCAGGCCACCACCCCGTTGTAAACTCCTCCTCTTCCCTCCCCCCCCCCCTCCCTTACAGACTACCGACCTGGGCCGCATCGCCTCCCACTACTACGTCTCCTACACCACCATCGCGCACTTCAACGAGCACCTCAAGCCCACCATGACCGACATTGAGCTCATGCGACTGTTCAGCCTGGCGGAGGAGTTCAGGTGGGGGGCCGGGAGGGGAGGGGGCAGGGGAGGGGAGGGGAGGGAGGGAGGCGGTGGAAAGGGGCGGGCCGAGATGCACAGGGACCAAGCAGGAGCAGTGGGTAGGTGGCGTAGTAGTAGGTGGCGGCTGGCAGGTGGGATGCCGCCTCTGTCCCGATGCCTCTGTTCCTGTATCCTTTAATTGCTGGGTAAGTACTTGTCACTCCAACAACTTCGTGAAGCAATGTTTGGATATTGAATTCAATCTGATTTAGGCCATCTCCTTCGCCCCCCTCCCTCCCTCCTCCCCCCCCCAGGTACATGGTTGTCCGCGAGGAGGAGAAGCTGGAGCTGGCCAAGCTGGTGGAGCGGGTGCCCATCCCCGTCAAGGAGAGCCTGGACGAGCCGACGGCCAAGGTCAATGTGCTGCTGCAGGTGAGAGGCAGGGGGGGAGCAGGGAAGGGGAGTGGTGCGCCCCGTGCTCTCTTCTTTGTACGTTTCCGCTGCTGTTCTTGCCACTCATGTTTCCAGCTTCCCCCCTCTTGCCTTCTTCCCTTCCTCCTAGAATCATGTCTCCGCGCTCACTGCATGTGACGGAATCTAGGATTGTGACTCCAGTTGCTGGCCTTCTCATTTCATCCCTCCCCTCCCCTCCACTACCCCACCTGCCCAGGCGTACATCTCCAACCTCAAGCTGGAGGGCCTGGCGCTCTCCTCCGACATGGTCTACGTCACGCAGTCCGCCGGCCGCCTGATGCGCTGCCTGTTCGAGATCTGCCTGCGCCGCGGCTGGGCGGGGCTGACGGACCGCGCGCTGGCGCTGAGCAAGATGGTGACGTACCGCATGTGGGGCAGCCAGAGCCCGCTGAGGCAGTTCAAGGGGGTGCCCAATGGTGAGAGGGGGAGGGGAGGTTGACTGGAGGAAAGCTGACGAACTTGGAGGGGGGAGGTTGACGCCTGAGACACCTTGGGGGTGTGCCACGGTCAGGGTCAGTAATTATCGCGTTGCCTAACCCTCTTCTCCCCCCCTCCCTCTCCCCTGCCAGACGTGTTGGTGAAGCTGGAGAAGCGCGACCTGCCCTGGGAGCGCTTCTACGACCTGACCAGCCAGGAGCTGGGGGAGCTGATCCGGGCACCCAAGATGGGCAAGAGCCTGCACAAGCTCATACACCAGTTCCCCAGGTAAGGGGGGGTGGAGAGGGAGGAGGAGCGGGAGGGGGAGGGGGAAAGGAAAGGGCTGAGAAGGAGAGGGGGTTAAGGAGGGGGGTAAAAGGTGGCTTGGGAGGTGCACTCGATCGGTCGCTTCCAAGCTCCCAAGCAAGGTGCTGGAACCTTAGGGTCCTCGCTTCCCCCTTTCGTTTCCGAACATGGACGTAATCCTTTCTCCTTTCCCTTCTCCTCCTCCCTGCTCGCCCCTCCCCTCCCCTCCCCCCTGCAGGCTGGAGCTGTCGGCGCACGTGCAGCCCATCACGCGCACCTGCCTCAAGGTGGACCTCACCATCACCCCCGACTTCGCGTGGGAGGACAAGGTGCACGGATGGGTGGAGCCCTTCTGGATATTCGTGGAGGACCAGGTGGGGGGGAGGGGGGTGCAGCATTAGGTGCCCCGTGTTTAAAGAGGCTTTCAGCGGAAGTGGTTTAGCGGACGTTACGGGTCTTGTCTTAGGCACCACCGGGCGGTGATAGGCAGCAAGGGGTATTACCATGCGCAGGTCGTCCGGGTGCTCGGCTAGCCAACCGCCCCCACCTGTGGTGTTGGTATATCTCTGACCCTGCCCTCTCCTTCCTCCCCTCACTCCCCCCCTAGGACTCCGAGCAGCTGCTTCACACGCAGTACTGGCTGCTGAAGCGCAGCAACGCGGGCGAGGAGCACACCGTGGCCTTCACCGTGCCGGTCTGCGAGCCGCTGCCGCCGCAGTACTTTGTGCGGGTGGTCAGCGATCGCTGGCTGGGCTGCGAGGCCACACTGCCCATCTCCTTCAGGTGGGGGGGGTCAAAGACCATACCAAACCATAGGAAACCGCAGGCAGGGGGGGGAAAGAGACCAAGTCATAGGAAGGGCAGAATAATGGGGGAATGAGGCGACAGGGTGCTGCAGGATAAAGGGAGGGTTAGCCTTCGCGCGGAAGTACGCCACGAATAGTGTTACAGTGTGTCGCTTACCCCACCCCTCCCCTCTCCCTCCCGCCCAGGCACTTGATCCTGCCCACCAAGTTCCCTCCCCCCACCGAGCTGCTGGACCTGCAGCCGCTGCCCGTGTCCGCACTGCGCAATGCGGCCTTCGAGGCGCTGTACCAGGGCCTCTCGCACTTCAACCCCATTCAGACGCAGGTGGGAGCAGGGGAGGGGGAGGAGAGTTGGAAGGGAGGGGGAAGTAGGAGAGGTGGGGGAGAGAAAGAGGAGGGGAAGGAAGGGAAGGAAGGGAAGGAAAGGGAGAGTGGGAGGTGTAGTTGAACACGACAACCTTACAACAAGGGAGGGTGTGAAGGGCACAGAGTGGAGTTAAGTGGGGGGCTTGCCTCCACACTGCCCTACAGCAGTACTTGTACATGTCCATTACATCATTGGCCCCCCCCCTGCTCCCCCCTCCCTCCCGGCCCACCCCAGGTGTTCACCGCGCTCTACAACAGCGACGACAACGCGCTCATCGCCGCCCCCACCGGCAGCGGCAAGACCATATGCGCGGAGTTCGCCATCCTGCGCATGCTGGCGCGCGCGGCGGAGGGCAAGTGCACCGCACGGTGAGCGGCTGGGGGTGGGCTGGGGAGTGGGGGAAGGAATGGGTGGGGCGGCGGTGTGGAGAGGGGGCAGCGAAGTGGGAGGGGGAAGTGCAAGGCATATGCAAGGTATATCTTTTGTGCGACCGTTCCTTGTTGACTTCTCCGTCAGGGGAAGCTCCCTATCACAGCGACACAGCCCCTGAACCGCTGCCCCGGCGCCCCTACCTGCCTCCCAAAGGCCTCCACCTGCCCGCTGCCATAACCCCGGCAACCCTAATAGAGCCCCGCCCCTCTCCCTCCCTTCCCCCCTCTCCAGGTGTGTCTACATCGCGCCCCACGAGTCTCTGGCTCAGGACGTGGCTGCCGCCTGGGGCACCAAGTTCGGCGAGGGGCTGGGTGTGAGCGTGACGCAGCTGACTGGCGAGACGGCTGCGGACCTGAAGCTGCTGGAGCGGGGCAACATCGTGGTGGCCACTCCGGCGCAGTGGGACGTCATGAGCAGGAGGTGGGGTTGGGGGGAGGGGGGTTGGGGTTTGGAGGAAGGGGACTGTGCTTGATGTGGTGTGATGTGGTTGTTGAGGAATGGAGGGGGAAGCTAGGGTGCTGGGGGCGGTGCCTCGCCAGTAGGTCATACTATGCCCCTTTCTCTGTCATCCTTCCCCAGCACTCCTCCTCACCTCACCTCTCCCCCCCCCTCCCCCCCTTTCACTTATTTAATTTTTTCCCTCCCCCCCTTTCCTTCCCCTCCCCCCCTCCCCCTCCGCCTCCCCCCCCTGCCTCCCCAGGTGGAAGCAGCGGCGCAACGTGAAGGACGTGGCGCTGCTCATCCTGGACGAGCTGCACCTGATCGGGGGGCCCAAGGGGCCCACGCTGGAGGTGGTGGCGTCGCGCATGAGATACATCTCAAGCCAGGCGGACAAGTGAGGGGGGAGGGGTGGGAGGGGAAGGGGGCGGTTGGCAGCATTGCTGTAGGGAAACCGCATGGGTAAGCGCTGGTGATTCTGCCGCTGGGGGCCTTGGATGAAAGTCAGCCGAGCCGAACTTACCATGACCTTCTTCCTACCCTCCTCTTTTTCCTCCCCCTACGCTTAGTCGCTTACTCCCCCTTTACTCCCCCTCTTCCCGCTCTTCCTCCCCCCTCCCCAGGCCCATCCGCATCGTGGGCCTCTGCCACTCCGCCGCCAACGCCAAGGACCTGGGCGACTGGATCGGCGCCACCGCACACGGCCTCTTCAACTTCCCGCCCGGCTCGCGACCCGTGCCGCTGGAGGTGCACGTGCAGGGCTTCGACATCACCAACTTCGAGGCGCGCATGCAGGTGCGGGAGAGGAGGGGGGGAGGGGGGGGGGAGGGAGGAGCTCACCCATGGGTCAGGGGCTGTGTTTTTCGTGTGCTAGACTGGCTTCCAGGTGGGTATATGCGGGGAAGAGCGGAGGAGCTTGGATAACTGGCCTCCAATACTACCTCCATTGCACCGGTACTACTCCAATCGACAATGCCCCGTCTCCAAAAGGAAACCCCCCTACCTACATTTCCGCTCACCTCGTATTCCCCTCCCGCTCCCCCTCCCCTCCCCCTCCCCCCCAGGCCATGTCCCGCCCCACCTACTCCGCGCTCTGCGCTCACGCTGCCGGCCAGCAGCCGGCGCTGGTGTTCGTGCCCACCCGCAAGCACGCGCGGCTGGCGGCGCTGGACCTGCTCACGTACGCGGCGGCGGATGGGTGAGAGCGGGCGGGGGGGAGGGGGGGAGAGGGATAGGAAGAGGAAACGGATGAGAAGGAGGAGGAAGATGGGGGTTATGGGGGTGACGGGGGGTCAAAGACCATACCGTACCAATGTAAGGGGGAGGGGAGCACCGGGCGGTGCCGGGGGGTCAAAGACCATACCGTACCAATGGAAACCACAGGGGAAGGAGGGGGTGCATGCGAGTGACTGGCGCCGGCGTCAGGACAACAGCTTGGTACAGGCGGTGGGCCAGCATACGGTATTACTCCTCATTCCCATTCATTCCCCTCCGTGTTCATTGCCCCTCCCTCTCTCCTCCCTACCACCAACCATTTCCATCTTCCCCTTCCCCTCTCCCCCTCCCCCCCCCAGCGAGCCCCTCAAGTTCTGCGGCGCCAGCGAGGCCGACCTGGCTCCCTACCTGCCCCGCGTGCGCGACGCGGCGCTGCGTCACAGCCTGCAGTACGGGGTGGGCTTCTGCCACGAGACGCTGGCGCCGGGGGACCAGCAGGCGGTGCGGCTGCTGTTCGAGAGCGGGGCCATCCAGGTGGGCGGGAGGGTGGGCGGGGTTGGGGGTGAGGGGGGTGAGGGGTGGGGAGTTAGGTAAACTGAGCCACAGGGAAACACTGACCGTGACCATAGGACGGTGGGGATGGAGGGAAAGGGGAGGGGTTTCCTTCCGTAGGATGGCACCCCGTGCTGTGTACGCCCTATCTTCTGCGCAACGCAAGCGCCACAGGGGTACACATGTTCCGCCTCCATAGCTCCTCTGGCATGCACGGAATACCGGCATGACGACGGTCCCCCCTGCCCCCTTCTCCCTCCCCCCTGCCCCCTTCTCCCTCCCCCCGCCCCCCAGGTGCTTGTGGTGACTGCTGCTCTGTGCTGGGGCCTGGGCTCGCTGTGCAGCCACTTGGTGGTGGTGGCGGGCACGCAGTACTACGACGGCAGCGGGCTGGGAGCCAGCGACTACCCCATCACCGACCTGCTGCAGATGATCGGCCGGGCAAGCAGACCCATGGTAGGGGGGGAGGGAGGGTGGTCAGGGGGAGGTGCTAGTTGTTGTTGCACCGCTCGAACCCCACATCTGCGGATCCCGCGCTTGGCCGTTACCCAGTCAGCGATACCGCACACCCGCCCGTGTTTCCCCGCGGCACAGCTGCATACCCTTCTCCCCCTTTCTCTCTTTCATGCTGCCCTCCCGTTCCCCTCCCTCTCCCTCGTTCAGTATTTCTCGCGGCTCCTAATCCCGTGGCTTCTAATCCCTCCCCTCCCCCAAGACCATGATTATGCCTTATCACACGGTCAGTTAGATGTTTCCTCTTTACCACCCCTCTCCCCCCCCCAGGTTGACTCCTGCGGCAAGGTTGTGCTGATGTGCGCCTCGCACCGCAAGGAGTACTACAAGCGCTTCCTGCTGGAGCCGCTGCCGGTGGAGAGCCACCTGGACCACTACCTGCACGACCACTTCGTGGCGGAGATCGTCACCAAGACCATTGAGAACAAGCAGGTGGGAGGGGGGAGGAGGGGAGGGGGAGGAGGGGAGGGAGAGCGGAGAAGAATGGGTCTGACGGGGGTAAAGAGGAGGGGTGGCCATCGCATTTCCCTCCTTCTGTTGGGTGGGCAGCAGTGCGGCTTTTCTATGCCCGGACGTCGGTCCTACCGTCACGCCCCTCTCTCCCTCCCTTTACCTCCCCCCCCTCTTCCTCCCCCTCCCCCCCCCTCCAGGACGCCGTGGACTACCTGACCTGGAGCTTCTACTACCGCCGCCTGGCGCAGAACCCCAACTACTACAACATGGGCGGTGTGAGCCACCGCCACCTGAGCGACCACCTGAGCGAGCTGGTGGAGAACACGCTGGCGGACCTGGAGACAAGCAAGGTGGGGGGGGGGGAGGGAATGGGGTGTAATTGACAGGCCGTATGCGGGAAGGGGTTGGGTGGAGGGGAGGGTCGGGGGGGGGGAGGTCAATGCTTTGCCGGTCGATATGCGGGGTGTGCAGGCAAAGGAGGCAGACGTATAGGAGAGAGAGTGGGTGTAGAGGGGCGCCCCAACGTGAATCCCTTCTGCTGGAGGTAGCCCCTGCCAGCATGCTCAGGACGTACTCCCTAAACTCAACACTCCCCAACTCCCTCCCCGCCCCTCCCTACCAGGTTATTTCCATTGAGGACGACATGGACCTCTCCCCGCTCAACCTGGGTATGATCGCCGCCTACTACCACATCTCCTACACCACCATCGAGCTGTTCGCCGCCTCGCTGGCCGCCAAGACAAAGACCAAGGGGCTGCTGGAGATCCTGGCAAATGCGAGCGGTGAGGGGTGGTGGTGGGGGGGGGCGCCAGGAGGGGAGGGCAGGAGGGGAGGGCACGGGACGAGCAGGGGGCACAGCATAGGGGAGACGACCAAAGGGCAAAGGGCACGCATTGGCCCTTGGGGCCCTTTAGGTACTGCCTCCCCCGCAACCCTGCTCCCGCCTCACCTCCAGCCCCTCACCCCCCTCCCCTCTCCCCCCTCAGAATTCTCCTCCCTGGAGGTGCGGCCGGGCGAGGAGAACGCCATCACCAAGCTGCTCACCCACGCGCCCGTCGCCGTGTCTCAGCTGCGCCCCTCCGACCCGCACTGCAAGGCGCACGCGCTGCTGCAGGCGCACTTCAGCCGGCTGCCGCTGGGAGGCGACCTGGCGCTGGACCAGCGGGAGGTGGTGCGGGAGGCGGTGAAGCTGCTGCAGGTGCAAGGGGCAGGAGGGGGTGGCGAGGAGGGGAGGCGGGGGGAAGGTCGCACGTCCGCTGTCGGTGTTACGCTTTGGTCCATGTTGACACATGTCGCGGGGTAGGGTTGTTTGTTATCCTGATGCCATCCTGACCCCTTCATTGCACACCCCCGTGAACTTCCTCTCAAACCACTCTACATCCCCCCTGCCTCCAGGCTATCGTGGATGTGATTGCCAGCAACGGCTGGCTGTCCCCCGCTCTGGCGGCTATGGAGATGAGCCAGATGGTCACGCAGGTAAAGGGGGGGAGGAGGGTAGGGGAGGAGGAGGGGTTGACGTCGGGTCTAGAGGCACACGGGAAGGCACATGCATAAGCATTAGGACCTTTGTCCTTCACCAGCGTCTTCTTTTTCCGCGACGGGTGTGGCGGGATTGTCCCTTATCATCTTCTTAGGCACCCCTCTCAAGTCTCAACCTTCCTGTACAACACCACCACCTTTACCACCAGCAGCACTGCTACCCCCCTCCCCATCCCGGATATGGGATATGGGATCGGGACTCGTTCTTTCACATATTTAATTTTTTCCCCATCCCATCAAAACTTATCGCCTTCTCCTGCCCCCCCCCCTCCCTCAGGCCCTGTGGGACAAGGACAGTCCGCTGCTGCAGCTGCCGCACGTCACTCCCGACACCGCCGCCCGGCTGGAGGGCGCGGGCTGCTCCTCCGTGTTCGAGCTGCTGGAGATGGAGGAGGGCGCGCGCAGGGAGGCGCTGGCGCCCGCGGGCCTGACGGAGGCGCAGATGGGGGAGCTGGCGGCGGTGGCCAACAGATACCCCGACATCAATGTGAGGAGGAGGAAGGGGAGGCGGGGGGGGTGCGAGGAGGGTAGTGCTAGCAGGCCAGCTGCGTTTCGCCCCGGCCTCATTGCCCTTTCACTTCCCCTTTCTCTTTACCTCACCCCCCACGCTTTCCCATCCCTCACCCCCACCACGTCACCTTCCCTCCCCCCCCAGGTGTCGTACGAGGTGGTTGGCGGCGAGGAGTCGGAGGTGCTGCCCGGGGAGGCGGTGAGCGTGGTGGTGTCTCTGGAGCGGGAGGTGGACGAGGAGGCGGAAGGGGAGGTGCCGGGGCCGGTGCCGGCGCCGCACTTCCCCGGCCGGCGGGACGAGGGCTGGTGGCTGGTGGTGGGCGATTCGCGGGCCAACAGCCTGCTGGCGATCAAGAGGGTCAACCTGGGCAAAGCGGTGAGGCAGGGTGGGAGGGGGGAGAAACTGAGGAGGGCTAGGAAGGTGAAGGGTGGGAGGGAAGGTGAGAGCGTTGTTACAGGATTGAGGGGACGACAATGTGGTGAGAAGAGGATGGGGCTGATTGAGGCATAGTTGGAGTGTTGCTTTGGAGTTTGTGCTGCTAGTGGTCTTACCCTTCCCTTCCCACCCTTCCACCCACCCCCCACCCCCGCCCCAGGCCCGCACCAAGCTGGAGTTCGCAGCGCCGCCCCCCGGCCCCGACGGCTCCGCGCACCTCACCCTCTACTTCATGTGCGACAGCTGGCTGGGATGCGACCAGGAGTACGAAATCAACCTCAAGGTGGGCTGCGGTTGGAGCAGTTGGAGGGGAGAGATGGGGTGGTTGGGGGTTGGTTGGGGTAACCGGCACGTATGTTTTGAGGGTGTGCGAGATATTCCTGGGAGTACCAGCGATGGGGAAGTGGGTAGGCGCAACCCAAATGGGTTCTGCAGCAATGACGGCGTTGCATCCCCTGCGAGCCCACCCTCCGCTTCCGCCGCACTCGAGGGGGGCGGCATTCCCGCCCTGCATTGTTAACATGTTGAGCCATTCTCATCCACTCTCGTCCTCCTCCCCGTCGCACCACTCATCTATCCTTTCCTGACTTCCCGTCAGGTTGCGCCCAACGAGGACGCCATGGAGCAGTAGAGGGCGCGGGGGGCCCTCGCAGCGGCAACACATGCAGCTGGAGCGTTCCGGAGAGGATGGGATAAACGGAGGAGGGAGCGGGGCGAGGTGCTCGCCAGCTGGTGCTCAGCTCAGAGAAGCAGCGGGATAATGGAGACTGGGGCCACCTGGCTGTTTAGCGGTACATCGTACATAAGAGATATGGGATAGCGTTTGATGGACTCTTGAATGACTAGACCTTCGGGAGAGCAGTAGCTGTAAGGTAGTGACGAGGGTGAAGGTGATGCGGATGGTGCTTATGGAGTTAGGCTGGAGCGAGGAGTTTGGAGGAGAATTGGTTAGGGCTCTTGTGATGAGCATAATGCAGATGCGGTTTTGGAGGATGCGGCATTGGCATACATAGATAGTGGGGCTGTGGGTACCATGGCACACGTTCATGAATACCAAAGGAAGACGTTTTCGGGTTTGACCCCTGTTGAACCAGACAAAACCTAACATTATCACAGATGGATACTCCTGTGGCACGATACGTTCCATGTATGTGGAAACGGACCTCTGCTAGCTGCAAAACACAAAGGTTGCCCTGTCGGTGCATCTGGGTTGTAAGCTTGTAACCATGATGCAATGTACCGTCATTGTTTAACAAATAGGAGACATGTTTTGAAAATCATAGTAAGAGGAAGTACATCACTCCAAGCGGAGTCTCCATCTCGGGCACAGGGGCAGCCATTGACGGGATGCTCCATGCAAATCCGTCTGAAAAACTGAACAATCACGGCGGGAAATTTGGCATGCTAGAGCGCAGGCAAGGGGGATTGTAAGTCGTGTACTGTGTTCTAGGGGACGCCGCTGGGAGTTGACAGCTTGAATAGGGCTACCAAACAGGGCACGGATGATTGCGCACCAGCAACGTATCATCAGGTGTACGATGATGAACACCTTTAAAGCCTGTGCAAGATAGAAAGGATAAGGCGATGTGGAAGGGCAGACGAGAAACCTGCGAATGCAATGCTTGGATCCAGGGGTTGGATTCAATCGTACCGATGCTGGAAGAACCTAAGCCCGGCTAGCAAGCTCGCAAGCACAGGACATCAGGCGATGATTTCTTATTCGTGTCGATTATATACAAGGCGTTTTCGTGCAATCCTTAAAGGGCGAATACTAGTCGAGGAAACAAAATACCTAAACGACAAAATGGAACAACATCTGCATAGGATAGTAGTGGCTATGCCATGTAGTGACTTCGTTTAGTACAAGTTGCCCAATTGCGAAAGACCGCAACCTGCTGAGCTCCAACCATGTCCATCTACGACCTAATCCAGCGTACAAACATTATTTTGAAGAAGTGGGTTACTGTTTCTTCTTGTGAACGTGGGAGCAACGTTTGAGGAATTGAACAACCGGCTAACCGTGCCAGCAGGTATGAGAGGTATGACGCTCCAATTAAGACTCGGCATGGCAAGACGGATGACCCCTTCATGGAGGAGTACGAGGAGGTGGAGTCAGAACTGGAAAAGCTGCTTGAGGTACGTACATCAACCGCATGTTGCGCTTCAGAAGCATTGTTTCTGACGCCGACGCCGTGTTGTGTGGACAGGCGGCCAGCGAAGTGGCGCTCGAGCAGAACCGCGCGATAGTAGCTGCTAAGAACGCGGAGATTCGGAGAGCAAAGAATGTGCTGCTGACGGAAGCTGTCCAGGCGCTGGAGAAGAAAGTAAAGAAGGGAAGGGGCGTCAACAAGCAGATTATTGCTGACCGACAATCGAAGGCAGGTTTGGCTTCTCTGCAAGGGTGTTTTCGCTTGTCTGCCTCGGGGATGAGACGTTTTCTCCTTGCCTACGTGTGCACCACCTTTTGTTACCCCAACCCACTGTGCCCCTCCCCCTTCCCCCTCACAAACCCCTCCTAAGCGACCTCTTCGTGGCGGCTCCCTGACCCACTTCCACAACCCCGTTCCTTGCTTTCCTTCTCCCACCTTCGAACCCCACCCTCTACCCTGGGTTCCCTTCCCTCAACTACAACCCACAGATCAAGGAGCTGATAGAGCGGATCTACGCGGTGCCGGATGGCATGAGCATGGCGGCTAACAGGCGGCCCGCGAGGGTAGGTGCTGGGGCTGTTGCCAGGAGGGGGCCGAACGGCTGTGGCTGAGAAGGGGCTGGAGATCCGGAGCGAAGGAACGAGGAGAGCCCGGCAGGCGGGTCGTGTGTCGTGGCTCGGGTTTGCAGGGGCACGCACAAGCACGGGTCACGGGGAATAGGGGGGTGGGCGCCTTACCCTCTACGGCAATATCCGACCCTATTGGCATACAACTTCACTGCCCCCTTCCAATTCGCTCTTCCCGCTCCCTACCCTACCGCAACACCCCATGTCGGGCCGCCGAACCTCAGACGTACGTCAAGGGCAAGAAGGGCGAGGGTGTCTACATCAACGGCCAGCTCGACTCCAACCCCGCTAACCAGGACGGTTACTACGCGCACACTGAGTCGACCCAGAAGTTCGAGAAGGTGCGGAGAGGGGGGCAGATGTCGAAATGTGCGCTGCGGCTACTGTGACGGTACTGACGCGGTTTGTACTATGTAGCTGTGCCTGGGCGACGGATGTGTTATGAGTTTAGAAGACCGCTTTCAACGTAGTTACGGTTGGGCGCTTTTTCGCCATCCCTGCCCTAATTGTAGTTAAAGAGAGAGGAAGATAGCTGTTCTTACACAGATCTTGTCTGGGTCGGGACAGAACGTGGGAACGGTTACGTATTGGGTATCACCTGTTGTACCTCCTCTGCTGCTGCCGCGCGCAGGAGTGGGAGGAAACTAAGAAGCAGCAGGACAAGAAGCTGGATATGATTGAGCAAGGGGTGGGCGAGCTCGGCGATATGGCCCGAAACATCGGTAAGAGCGTGTGTGCCGGTCTGCTTTGGGGTGTGGAATGTTACATCAGGGGTTGTTGGTTTATGGGGGCTTGGCGAATGTTGGTCGTGCGCGGGAGAGCACCCGGCATCCGGGGCTCGTGTTACACGAATACGCGCCTTGACGGTGCTTCCTCCTTTCCTTGCTGGGAGAGTGGCGTAGCCGCCATGCAACCCCAGCTTCTTGCACCCCACCTTGCCCCCTGCAGGCGAGGAGTTCGACCGGCAGGCCCCCATGATTGACGACATCGAGCAGCAGATGGACAAGGTGACCAGCCACCTCAAGACCAACAACGCCAAGCTGAAGGGCATGGTGGACAAGATGCGCTCCTCGCGCAACTTCTGTGTGGACATCATCCTCATCACCGTGCTGCTGGCCATCGGAGCCTACATCTACGCCATGTTCATGTGATGTGGTGTTGTGCGGGTGCGCGTTTGCTGGGTGATGGGCTGGACTAGCTGGCTACAGAGCCCATGGGCTTGTGATGTTTACATGAGTGAACTGGGCCGTGCCGGTACCGTATGCAGGGGCACTGGCCGGTGCCCCCGTGGTGATCGGAGATTAAACCAACTATCCAAGCATTACCATGTGATTGGGGTTGTTTGCTTGCTCGCGCGTTAGAATCCTTGTGTGATTTAGGTTGGCTAGCTTGCGGTGGGCCTAAGGTGCCAATCAGCGTGATGTCAGTAGGGCGGGGGACCGGAAGGGGGCTTCTGAGTTCTGGGTGGCCGCAAGCACCGCCGTTGCGACCACTTGTGTCTGTGGCAGCCTGTACATACGCAAGGCACATGAGGAGGGGCCCGAAGAGGGCGGTGGTGTAGGAGGGTTAGAACCCACAAGAGAGTGGTAGGAAAGGGTAGGCACGTATGTAGCATTTAACATAGACAAATTCGCCTCATGGCGTCAGGAGTCCTGTGGAGGATACCACAAACCAAGCCGCAGCAGGCGACTGTCGAGCATTGATGCGTCGGTGTGGGCTGCATGACCTGTTCTCGTAATTCAAGATGGTGTCAAACCTGAGGAGCTGAGGACATCAGCTAGTACTCGGCTGGTTCCGATAGCATTCTACCACTCCCTACCCTGCGGTGTGTCACAGCTGTGAAGCTGGGCATGCGGCTGCTGGTGTGCTCTGACAAGGGCTGACAGGGTCTTGTCCTAGGGTTCGGCTACCAGGCCGTGCTGCGTTCTAGCCTTCCCGATGAATCGAGGTTTGCTCTGGCAGGAGGACGGGGTTGTGCACCGGTTGTCTTTGAAGCGCGGTCAGCGAGCCCAGGCACGACGCCCGCAGAACCAGACTCACACCAGCCCGCAAAGACCGCAGACCTTCTTCCTGTGTGTTGGGACCTTGGGACCTTCTTCCTGTGTGTCCTGAGGCATTGGGACAAAAGGGAGGGCGTCATGGGCGACCCATGGGTCTGCGTTTTCATAGCAGTGTATGCTGTGCAAGGCGTCCAGGTGACCACATCTCGTTGCATGGGTTTAGCTACGCGAAGTGCACAATGGGGTGGGGAAACATGGGACAACCGGGAAGCACGTGCGCTAGGTACGAGCCGTGACGAGGCTTCTCCCTTGCTGGGGGAGTGGCGTAGCTGTGCATGCGGCACGTGACAAGGTTGGTGGGTGCTGAAAGAATGGAGAGCGGTGAACTACCACGGAGAAGCAGCCTCCATCTCTGCAAGACGTTCGGCTAAAACGCAGGGTGCACGCCTTTGTCCACGTTCGCATGCCCCCCTCTCCCCGCACAGGTGGGCAGCTCGACTGTCAGGCCCCCCGCTCGCATGGTAGTCCCTCATGACGTCATATGAGGGGGGTTGCCTGCTTGCCTCCCCATGAGGGAGTGCCGGTACCTCCTTCCGTTCCAACCAAGATGCCCTCGCTGAAACGACAACGAGTTGCGATGAGCGAATGAATGACTGTTACATGTTGTGAGTGCTTGTAAGGCTTGATTCAGCACGAAATGCAGTTGAGAGTACTAACAGTCGTCACAAGCACATTTCAAGATGCTGCTAGGCTCAGGCTGTCTGAGCGAGTGCTTGGACCACGTCCAGCCTTTAGGTGACACTTTGACAGGCAGTTTATACGAAGAAAAGGTTTTTCTAAGGACAATTTCATCCAGGTCAATCCGGGGCTCAAACAATCCAGCCCCCTCCCGGTCCTCCCCTCTATCGTTAGCGCTCCCCCTCCTGCGTACCAGTACTCACCACCGCCTCCCTCCCACCTGCCGACACGGACCCATGCAATGTCATGCACGCATGTCATCCCCCCACCCCATGCACACCGCTCAAGTGCTCATGTGTTTCGGAAGTAGCGCCTCCGTAACAAAGCCCCCCGCTACCCTCCCCCCCGCCCCCTCCGGTCCCCAGCCCCGGCCCCGTATCCATTCCGCCGCCCCCTCGTCCTCCTCCTCCTCCTCCTCCTCCTCCTCCTCAACCCTTCATGCATTCGTACCTGCGGCAGTGAGCAACAGCAGCACAGCAGCGGGCAGGGGAGCAGCTGGTTGGCTACAGGCACATGCGAATGTAAGACCCGTATAGGCTTCCCCCATGGGCTCCCCAGGCTCCTCCCTCCCTGCCCCCCTCTTAACCACCTCCCCAGTCATGCCCCCCCCAACCCCCCCCCCCCCCAACCCCCTCACTTGAGGGTGAGCTCCTTGGTGATCTCCTCCGCCAGCACCTGCCAGCGCCGGGGCTTGGTGACCTAGGGGAGAGGGGAGGAGAGGAGGGGGTTGGACACACAAGCGTCGTAGGGACGGCCCCTATCCCAAGTGTTACCGTATGCGGCGTCCCTTCCCCCCTCTCTGCCCCCCCCTCCGCCCGCTGTCCCGCACCCCTTGTAGCCCATGTCCCCCCCTCCACCTGTTTGTCCGGGTGGTAGGCGATGATGGCCCGCCGCAGCGTGTCCTTGATCTTGTCCCCCAGCAGCGACTCGGGCGGCAGGCTGACGGGCTCGCTGCCGCCCCCGGGCGGGTGGACGCGGTAGATGTGGCGCAGCAGCTCGTGGGAGCCCTAGGAAGGAGGGGGGAGGGAGGGGGGGTTGGAGGGGGTGGAGGGTGTTGGAGGGGGTGCAAGGAAGCCCAGGCAGGGGGGCATAGGTATTTGGGAGGAGGAGCTCAGGAGGGGTGGCGGGCAGAGTGCCGGTGTGTACTCCCCCCCCTTCCCCCCCGCTGCCGTACCTTCACCGCCGCCTTGCTCACCGCCGCCAGCTCCTCCTTGAGCTGCTCCAGGAAGGGCGCCCGGCTGGCGGCCGCCTGCCGCTCCTCCGCCGCCGCCTGCTCCTGCTGCGCCTGCAGCACCGCCCGGCGCGCCTCCTGGTACCAGTCCGTGTCGTTCACCTGGGGGGGGGGGGGGAAGAGGGGGAGGGGGAGGCCAGGGAAGGGGTTGAGGGGGGAGGGCTAGAAAGAGGGGCAGACAGTCAGAAACCGTTCACTTCTATTCTACCTACTCTTTGACCCCTGCCAATCAAATAACTAAGTCGAGATCCCCTCACCCAAACCCAAACCCAGTTATCCGCTCCTACGGTACCTCCCCCACCCACCCAAACCCCCCCTACGTTGCTCCGTCAGTGTCGCAATATATATGTTTTACCCCCCCTACCCCTACCCCCCCACCCACCACCCGCGGCATCATGGCCACCCCCAGGTCCAGCACGTGCTTGTAGTGCTTCAGCCCCCGCTCCCGCATGCGCAGTACGGTGCTGTACAGGTGACCCAGCGAGCGGTGCGCGCGCGCCTCGCACTCCAGGTCGCAGCCGCGAGCCAGGGCAACGGCCTGAGGGGGGCCGGGGGGTGGCGAGAAGGGGGGGAGGGAGGGGGACGGGGAGGGGGATGCGGGGCAAAGGAGGGGTGGTGTTACCGGTGTGCATGGAAGGGGTGGCGTGGCTACGCCGCAGCGAGCCATCTCACGCCCCAAGTCGCCTCCGTCGTGTCTCTCCTACCGTCCGAGCCCCAACCCTGCATCTCAGCAATACAATCACAGTACGTTCCTACTCGCGGCCACGTTTCTTAACACACGCCCTCCCCCCACCTCGTCAGTGCCTCATCAGTGGCTCATTATAGTCCCCTCCCCCCACCTCCTGGTACATGTCCGCCACCAGCCGGATGCCCTCCATGTCCAGACTCTCACTGTCCTGCAGCACCCGCTTCAGCAGCGCGTCGGCGGCGTGGCGGGCCTTTTGGGGGGGGGAGGAGAGGGGGTAGAGAGAGGGAGGTAAGGAAGGAGAACACTGCGTTAATAATGCCTGGAGCAGGACGGAGGATGGAAGCGGGTGAGCAGGAGGGTGTGGCGGTGAGGGAGATGGGCAGGAAGGGGGGAGCGGGAAGGCAGGGGAAGGAAAGAGGCGGCTTAGCAAGAGGGGAGGTGCAATGTGGGGTGAACAGAAGTCAAGCCAACTTTGCAGCCTATTGTAAAGGGCAGCAGTCTCGCTCCTCCTCCCCCTCCCCCAACCCATTCTGTTGTCCTAATTCGTGGTTTCCTATGGTTTAGTCTTTCCGGACCCCCCCCCTCCCCACCTGCACACTGCGGCAGATGGCTTCACCGATGTCAGCAGCCTCTACCAGGGACTCGGCCTCCTGGAAGGGGGGGAGGGTGGAGCGAGGCAGTAGGGACGGCAACAAGAGGAAAGGGTTGAAAAAGTCTAAGGAAGCATGCAAGGGTTGGGGAAGCATGCCAAGGTGACCCGTGGGTCGCGTGTATGTTGGCACCCAGCTGCTCCCCCCTTGAGGCCCCTTCCCAGCCGGCTACTCCTCTATAGACCGCTACCCTATAGGCCATGCTAACCACTTGTCAAGCCGTGCATGTGCTCCCCCCCACACACACACCACGGCCAGTTTTCTTAACACACCTCCTCCATGTCGGAATCCCCCGCCCTCCTCGCGTTGTGGGCCGCAGCGGCGAACAGCGGCTGAACACGCAGCACCAGATCCAGGGCGCGCCTGAGGGGAGTGGCGGCCCGGAGTGGGGGGAGTGGGAGGGGTGAGCAATGGGGTGGAGGAGGGTGAGGAGGGAGGAGGGCGGGGTAGAAGAGCCGCGTTTATGGGCTTGAGTGGAGGTTAAGAGAAAGGCCGGGACGGAGTTGCAACTCTGGGATGAGAGCAGTGAGAAGGTCTTCGTGGGCTGTGGGTCGTCCTACTCTCATTGCCTTGATCCTATGATTTGCCCTACATCTGATCTCCAACCCCGCCCCACCCATCACCCCGCCCCCCTCCCCCTCACCTCCAGTCCTGCTCCGCGCGCCCCACCTCCTGAATCCGCAGCGCCTCGCCGTACAGGTGCTTGGCCAGGGTGAGCGCCAGGGAGGCCTTCAGGCCCGCCAGGTGGCCGGAGCGCTCGGAGGAGGAGGAGGCCAGGGGCAGGCAGGAGTAGAGCCTTGGGTGGGGAGGGGGGGGGGGAGGGGGGGATGTATATGGGGTTGAGATGGTCAGGAAGGGGGGGATGAGTACCGGTAGTAGTGTGTGGCCGCAGTACATGAGCTGTAGTTGGCAGGTAGAGCCTGGGAGAGGGGAGAGGGGCAGGGTACGGCGTACGGGAGTGAAGGGAGGAGGACCCCTCCCCCCCCCTCCGCCGCCCTCACTTGTGCAGCACGGCCCCCTGGTCGGGCCACTTGGCCGCCAGGAAGGGGCGCTCGCGGACCAGCTCGGACGTCTGTGGGGTGGGTGGTGAGGGGGAGGGCAGGGTTGCGGATGTGGGGGGAAATTAGCTGAAAAGTGGAGCGACGGAGTCCCAATCCCATATCCCAACTGCGGATGGGGGGCGTGGGCTTCAAGGATATCAGCAGTAGTAGAAGCAGCATGGCAACGAACAGTGCTGGCCGCATGCAGGGGCCAGTCAGATGGGTCGTCCTCCACCGGGGCAACCCCTCCCCCCCGCCCGCCCTGCATGTTCCTCTGCATGCATGCAGCCCCTGAGGTAGAGATCCATGCATCCAGCCTCCACACACGCCCCCATCCCGCCTCCCCTAACCCCTACCCGCACCGCCGGGCTCAGGGCAGCCGCTCCTTACCCTTCCTGCTGCCTAGTTTCCTCCTCTCCCTCCCTCTACCCCCCCTCCCCCCCACCTTCCAGCTCAGCACCGAGTCCACCAGCTGGCTGGCGGCGGAGAAGAGGTCGTCCATCCAGGCAATGGTCTGGCACTCGCTGCCCCAGATGAGCGCCCTGGCGTAGTGGCCCAGCGCGTCAGCCTGGGGCAGCAGCGGGAGCAGCGGGGAGGAGGAGGGGAAGAAGGGAGGGCGAACGGCAGCCGTTATGGGGAGATGGGTGGGGCGGTACGGTGCCGCGCGGCGTGTGCGTATGTATGTGCGTGTGCTGCCCCATGCAGCCCCTCTGGCTCCCAAGTAAGGCAGCAGGGGGGTCAGCTCGAGCCACGCAGCCCTGCCGCCCCCACCTGCAGCTGCAGCGCGGTGGGTCCGTCCGCGCGGGTGAGTGTGAGGGTGCGGCGGGAGAGCACCGCCAGGTTCTTGGCGGCGGCACAGCGCTCCAGGGGGGTGCTGGCGGTGGACAGCGCGTCACGGTAGAGGCCCTCAGTCTGGGGGGGAGGGAGGAGGGGAAAAAAAGAAATTCCAGTGTGTGGAAGAGGGAGAGGGGAGGGAGGGGCAGGAGGGGTAGGTGAAGTGGGTTGCTAGGGAAGAGCCGGGTGGAGGCTGCTGCTGGGCAGAGGCGGGCGGCCGGGTGAGCTGGGAGAGGAACGGATTGGGGTGGGGAGGTAGGGTGTGAGGGGAAGGAAAGAGGCAGTTGTCCGGGGCCCACTCGCTGGCTCTTAGGCTCTATAAGTAAGGTACTGTCCTGCTCCTCTGCCCTTCTTCCCTGCTCCCTCCCCCACCCACCCTGCTGAGCTGCGACTGCAGCAGCACGGGCGCCACCCCCTCGAGGTTGCGGTAGAGCTTGTTGGCGCTGTCACGCAGCTGATTGGACCTGGGGATGTGTAGGGAGGTGGGGGTGGAGGGAGAACGGAGGGGGGAGGAGGGGAGGAAGGGGGAGAGGAGAGGGGAGGGGTGGGGAGGAAGGTACACGTCATGAAGGGCTGGGTTTCACAACGCAGGCGCCGAATCCGGACTTCCCCTTCCGGATCCAGGGTTCTCCGCCCCACCAGTCCTGGACGCTCCGTCCCAGCGCCCCGCAGCCCACGACGCGCCCACCACAGTTCACCTGCTGCTGGGGTTGTCGGCCGCCTTGGCCTCATTGAACCTCGCCTCAGCAGCTGCGACGTACGCGCGATAGGCGCGTGCGGCCTCCTCCTGCTCCTCCTGCTGCACCCGTTCAAATTCGCGGCGCTCTGCGCGTTTGGCCGAGCGCTTGGCGGCCTTCCTGGCATTCTTGGCTCGTCGTCGGGCTGCTGCGGCCTGCGGCGTAATGGCATGGACGGACGAGTAAAGGCACAATGGCATTCGGCTCCATTGTGCCGTTCAAGCTTGGCTTTTCGGTAATTGGAACTATACTAGGATTCCAGCCATGTTATATGGCCCAGGAAGCAAAGCTGCAACAGGGGCCCATGCATTCCAAAGAAAGCTCACCTCCTCTGCTTTCTGAGGATCAACCTCCTTAGCTTTCTTCATAGTCGGTTTATGTCAAGCGGAAGGGCAAGTCGTTGTCCGCGATGCTGCTGTTCCGAGGGCTTGCGACGTCCCCGAAGCCCAAACCCCTAGATAAACTACTTTACAAAAAGAAAATTATATGTAATTGCTTAGAACTTAGAAACCGCATTGACTGTAGTATTGGGCGCGGATATGATTTGGGTCGTGCGATGCACTAAACGTACGGAATGAGGAATGAGTAATACAGATACACTTTTATTGGCATTCCTAACGTTCCATTAGCTCGCTCTAAGCTGCCAATAAACTTCTTGGCTTGCTTGAGCCTCCTAAGCCGTTCAGCCTACAAAGCACCAACTACCATTTCTTTATAGGTTAGAACATAGGTAACTACAGTTGTGTGACATGATACCATACCGTATAACAGCAGCTGTGTGCACCAGTAGGGCTGTCGGTCACTAAGGGAAGATTGGTCGGGTCGACATACGGATATGACGGCTACCATACGAAGAGAGTACGCAGGGCCGATCAGTCGCAGAAAACGGCAAGATTGACTAAGCAACCTCACGCATGAGGGATACCATGCTTCCCTGGTGGTGCAATGTATGGCTGTGAGCATGGCGGATAGGATTCCGTGCACTTGTCCGTCTGAAGCTTCAAAAGACACGTACGACTACATGAACGTGCAAAATCTTGCTGGCATTCCCATTCCTAGCGTCCAGACGTGGTGCCAACGGCGCGGCGGTGTGCTTGGACTCATCGTCTCTCATAACCTGGCCAGTGTATGTCACACGAGAAAGTGCTGCCTGCTGTCCTTCCGCCAGAACAGACATCTGCTTGCAGGGCAGTGGCTGTTTCTAATCTAGACGTTTGGCTGGCCCAGGCCCAGGCAAGCAAGGGGTAACGTTACCCTCACACCATGCTCACCATAAACTTGCATCAAGGAGATAGGGGTGAATGCACACGGGCTGCCTCAACATAGGTGCCAGTTGGCCAGCACATGCTGGACACGGGTGCCACTTGAGCAGCATATCGCGGAGGCTCAACAAACATTGCTATCCACCCCTTTGCTATAGAACTAAATGGAATTGTCAGCACATACACTAACCTGTACACTCACGCACGAATTCTCATGAAAGGTGCGACCCATGGGTCCGCATGGATGCCGAGGCGCATGAGAGTGAAATCTATTGAGTACAACACAGCTATGTGCAGCTCTTCAACAAGAGCATGAAAGCCGAAGGCGACCAAGGGTAACAGGAAATGACTAAACACTACAGTCTAGAGTGCTGACTAAGGGCCCCCGTGGTTAAGGTGCCAGCATTGATTTGTCCTAATAAGCTTAATTTTTTAACACATCTGCACTATACCAGTAAGCAAAAGCACGTACCATTGAGTATCGCGGGGGTAAGAAGTACTAAGTTAAGGCTCTATATCCGTAAAAACGACGAAATACGAGTCCCTGTCCAGATGATAACACGAAGTGCGAATAGCAGGCAAGCACGCAGAAAACTGTATTTTGCGAAGTAAATGCGTCACTAGACTACGAATGGTCAATGGCCATACAATCTGCACGCCTACAAGAACCCAAACCAGCATACCTATTAGTACTAGGCCAAGGCAGCTGGGCATCCCACACTTGCAGTCGGACTGCTCACCTGTCACCTACCAAAATCCCACCATATGAAAGCATCGTCAGTGCCTGACAGCGCAAGAACAGCGTTGTTGTCATGTTACGAACACAGTTTCAGGCTGCGCCATTAACTGGATTGCCACCCTACGTACGTTAGTCCATACACGCCAAAACCACCACTCGTACTCGTCAAGGCACACGAGCCAGTCTTCGCGTGCTTCCTCTCGCACGCTGCGAACCAACCCTACGGCCAACCAATCCTACCAAAACCCCGGACGGCAAGTCAGCCTACAAAGGAATATCTCGAATACCCATATGTCATTAAAGCGTCAGCAACCCGGTAGTCACAGGGTGCCTCTCCTAGAAGTGGTATGGACACGAGACCCATGGCCTTGCTTAACAATGCTGCTCAAATGCTCTTGAGTCCCAATTGCGACAGATACGCATGTTGCCCGCACAGCCTTACACGTCTCGGACGCTCCTCCTACACGTCCGTGCTACCAACGCCGCTGACTACGCCTGCGGGTTGGGCGCAGTGGATGGCGTGATGACGTCAGCGTTCGCAGCAGCGGTGGGGGCTTCACCCGCAGGCATGCTGCCCGGCCTGCTGGGGCTTCCGTGCCACCTGGCTGCCATGAGCTCCAGCAGGTCTGACCCCGCTGCTTCCAGGTGCAATGTGCTGCCAGTCAGGTCAACCTAAGGGGTCAGGAGACAGGACGGTGCGCGCGTGCGTCACCGCGAGGAGTCGTATGGAGACGTGCAGACTCAACATTGAGGGTAAGCCACTAACGAGGAAGTGCACGCCTCCAATAGGCTGGAGCAGTGTGCCAAAGCCAAGCTTTGCCCATGCCTAAATTACCTGGCCAAAGCGCCGCAAGGGTGTCCGGGGCTGTGGTGAGGGTCCAGCGACGACTGATCCAGCGGCGTCCCCATCTGCTGCTGCAAGCGCCAGACCCACGGGGGGTATCGGGGAAGACAGCCCGTCCCCGGCCCGATGAGCGACCGAGACGCCAGAGACAGGGCTGCGTAAGGCGCCCAGTCCGACGCCCCAGATGCAGCCCTCCATGAAGCCCTCGACGGCGTCTTCGTCCTCGATCTCCACGGCGAAGCTGTCGCAGGGCCGCAACTGGTGCTGGTCGGGCGCTGCTGCCGGTTCCGCCTACATGGACGAGTTCCGGTGGTTGCAAGTAGGAACAGAAATAGGGCGGTGGTTGCGGCACCCACCGCATATCCCCTTCATATGCTCTTATGTGAAGAGTCAAACAAGGGTCGGCTCATTTGCCCCACACCCACCTGCATCTGCGCGTTCTGCGCCGTCGCTCTCTGCACCTCCTGCGCGTCTATAAGCGCCTGCTTGGCGATGAGCCTGGATTGCACGCGTTCAACCTCCTCGCGGTACCTGGAAGAAGTAGGAAACAGGCGTGTGTTAGACCGACGGTCGCTCCCAACATGTGCCATGCCTCTTTACCATCCGGCAAGTCCTGTGCGGCTTCCAGACAGCAGGTAATCCAAAACACATCAGCACATTCAGATGCATCCCAGTCCGTACCTTGCTATCTCTGCTGACAGCTCCATCACCATCGCCCGCCCCTCACTGCTTTCAGCAAGGGCGCGCGCCAGACGGGCTTCCATCTGGTGCCGCTCCGCAGCAGCAGCCAATGCTGCCCGCTCCGCCGCCTCCACACGCGCCTCCGCGTTTGCCAGCTGGAATTGCATTTGCGACACACGCGCCTTTGCTTGCAGGTCTTCGTCGGCGGCCACCAAGTTGCTGTTGAGAAAATCCAGCTTGTCTGTTGGGGATGCAAACGAGGAACCGCAGACACAAGTTACGTCAGACACGTATAGTGGCTTGAACAGACACGACATCCAACATGTATACCCCAATGCTGGATGCTGAGTTCATGCGAGGCCCCACTATTTCCACAATACCCACTTCTTGTATACCGGTACCGCCCAACGCACCAGGTGTGACGCCGTCGTGACGCTCTCGCGGCTGCCAAACAGTAGCTAGGGTGGATCCCCTCCAAGGCGAAACCGGTGGCAACGACTCCTCCGCTGTCGGGGCCACACGCACAAGTGCCGAATCCCCGAAGACGGCTCTCGTCTCGCCCACCGATGACACTGGCGCATGCGTATTTGCACCGTCTGCGGGTACAAGGACGTGCGCATCTGCAGCAGCAGCACCCGCGTTAACTAGCCCACCCTGGGCTTCTACCCGCGCGGCTCGCTGTTCAAGAGCTCGCAGGCGCGTGGCGCATGCCTCTATCTCCGCGTCCGCCATGCGTGCCTGGGCCGCGAGCACACAGGCAGCATTGCTCTGGCGGACAACTGCCTGGCGCTCAGCGTCCCTGGCTTTCAGGTGTGGGATTCCTGGCAACATGGACCCCGCTGCATCGGCGTCGAGCGTGTTAGCCGGAGCGTCACGGACACGTGTCGTCGGCGGTGGATTGTGTCGCTCTGCCGCTGCAGCGCCCTCCTCCACGCAAGGGAGCCCTCGACGTGCAATGGCTGCTTTCCGATCGTGGCCGTCGGCGGCGTTCGATGCATGTGGCAGCTGCTGTACCGTAGACGTGTCAGCGGCCCCCGGTCCTTGGACCTCGCCTCGACGCCGTGAGCTACGCGACGACGGGTCGTCATTCAAGCCGCAAGCCAAAGGAATGCAATGAAGCTCGTCTAGACTAGCCAGGCGGCAGGACGACACGGCCGATTGTTGCTGCCGCACTGCATTTCCATTTGCTGTGGTGGTCCCCGCTACGGCTGCCCGAAGGACCTCCGCTGTGGCCTGCGACTGTCCGATATCTGCCACTTCGGTCGGAAGCTTCTTGCGCGCGCCGTGCGACGGTGCCTTACGGTCATTGAGGCTCGCCTGGTGATCCTGACCCGAATGGACCGCCTGCAGCGACACCACAGTTGCAGGCGGTTCCAAAAGGTCTTGCGCTGCCTGCATAATTGCGCTGCCGCTAAGCTCGCTGGAGGTACCCAATTGTTGCTGATGCCCATTACCGACTTCAAGGAGACAGGAAGAAAGCAGACCTGCCTGATCCCAGCTGTCGTCCTGAACCAGTGGTGCGGGAAGAAGATTACAAACGCTGGAACCATCCAAACGCAAGGCACCGTATGACCGTGTTACTTTATCCACGCATGCGATTGGCGGGTGCGCCTCAAGCTCGGCAACCTGGCATGCAGCACGCTCGGAGCGCTCGGCAGTCTCAGCACGAGCGGCGGCCAGCTGAAGCTCCAGCTCAGCAGACCTGGCGGCGGCGGCCTCTGTACGCTCAGCAGCCTCGGCACGCGCCGCCGCAAGCTGCGCCTCAAGCTCGGCAACCTGGCATGCAGCACGCTCGGAGCGCTCGGCAGTCTCAGCACGAGCGGCAGCCAGCTGAAGCTCCAGCTCAGCAGACCTGGTGGCGGCGGCCTCAGTACGCTCAGCAGCCTCGGCACGCGACGCCGCAAGCTGCGCCTCAAGCTCGGCAACCTGGCATGCAGCACGCTCGGAGCGCTCGGCAGTCTCAGCACGGGCGGCGGCCAGCTGAAGCTCCAGCTCAGCAGACCTGGCGATGGCGGCCTCAGTACGCTCAGCAGCCTCGACACGCGACGCCGCAAGCTGCGCCTCAAGCTCGGCAACCTGGCATGCAGCACGCTCGGAACGCTCGGCAGTATCAGCACGGGCGGCGGCCAGCTGAAGCTCCAGCTCAGCAGACCTGGCGATGGCGGCCTCAGTACGCTCAGCAGCCTCGGCACGCGCCGCCACAAGCTGCGCCTCAAGCTCGGCAACCTGGCATGCAGCACGCTCGGAACGCTCGGCAGTCTCAGCACGGGCGGCGGCCAGCTGAAGCTCCAGCTCAGCAGACCTGGCGGCGGCGGCCTCTGTACGCTCAGCAGCCTCGGCATGCGACGCCGCAAGCTGCGCCTCAAGCTCAGCAACCTGGCATGCAGCACGCTCGGAGCGCTCGGCAGTCTCAGCTCGGGCGGCGGCCAGCTGAAGCTCCAGCTCAGCAGACCTGGCGATGGCGGCCTCAGTACGCTCGGCCGCCTCGGCATGCGACGCCGCAAGCTTTGCCTCAAGCTCGGCAACCTGGCATGCAGCACGCTCGGAACGCTCTGCAGTCTCAGCACGAGCGGCGGCCAGCTGAAGCTCCAGCTCAGCAGACCTGGCGGCGGCGGCCTCTGTACGCTCAGCAGCCTCGGCACGCGACGCCGCAAGCTGAGCCTCAAGCTCGGCAACCACGGCGTTATGCCGAGTAGCCTGCTGCGACACTCCGGCCCGCGCAGCTGACAGCTGCGCCTCAAGCTCCTTGGCAAGATTCCGTGAGTGCTCTGACCGTTGTGATGCCTCTGCATGCGACGATTGAAGCTGCGCCTCCAGCAACGCGATTTGGGAAGCAAGGGCAGCCGCACGCTCGGCAGTCTCAGCACGGGCGGCGGCCAGCTGAAGCTCCAGCTCAGCAGACCTGGCGATGGCGGCCTCACTACGCTCGGCAGCCTCGGCACGCGACGCCGCAAGCTGCGCCTCAAGCTCCGCAACCTGGCATGCAGCACGCTCGGAGCGCTCGGCAGTCTCAGCACGAGCGGCGGCCAGCTGAAGCTCCAGCTCAGCAGACCTGGCGGCGGCGGCCTCTGTACGCTCAGCAGCCTCGGCACGCGCCGCCGCAAGCTGCGCCTCAAGCTCGGCAACCTGGCATGCAGCACGCTCGGAACGCTCGGCAGTCTCAGCTCGGGCGGCGGCCAGCTGAAGCTCCAACTCAGCAGACCTGGCGACGGCGGCCTCTGTACGCTCAGCAGCCTCGGCACGCGCCGCCGCAAGCTGAGCCTCAAGCTCGGCAACCTGGCATGCGGCACGCCCGGAGCGCTCGGCAGTCTCAGCACGGGAGGCAACCAACTGAAGCTTCAGCTCAGCAGACCTGGCGGCGGCGGCCTCAGTACGCTCAGCAGCCTTGAAACGCGCCGCCGCAAGCTGCGCCTCAAGCTCGGCAACCTGGCATGCAGCACGCTCGGAGCGCTCGGCAGTCTCAGCACGGGCGGCGGCCAGCTGAAGCGCCAGCTCAGCAGACCTGGCGATGGCGGCCTCAGTACGCTCAGCAGCCTCGGCACGCGCCGCCGCAAGCTGCGCCTCAAGCTCAGCAACCTGGCATGCAGCACGCTCGGAGCGCTCGGCAGTCTCAGCACGGGCGGCGGCCAGCTGAAGCTCCAACTCAGCAGACCTGGCGACGGCGGCCTCTGTACGCTCAGCAGCCTCGGCATGCGACGCCGCAAGCTGCGCCTCAAGCTCGGCAACCTGGCATGCAGCACGCTCGGAACGCTCGGCAGTCTCAGCACGAGCGGCGGCCAGCTGAAGCTCCAGCTCAGCAGACCTGGCGGCGGCGGCCTCTGTACGCTCAGCAGCCTCGGCACGCGCCGCCGCAAGCTGCGCCTCAAGCTCGGCAACCATGGCGTTATGCCGAGAAGCCTGCTGCGACACTCCGGCCCGCGCAGCTAACAGCTGCGCCTCAAGCTCCTTGGCAAGATTACGTGAGTGCTCTGACCGTTGTGATGCCTCTGCATGCGACGATTGAAGCTGCGCCTCCAGCAACGCGATTTGGGAAGCAAGGGCAGCCGCACGCTCGGCAGTCTCAGCACGGGCGGCGGCCAGCTGAAGCTCCAGCTCAGCAGACCTGGCGATGGCGGCCTCACTACGCTCGGCAGCCTCGGCATGCGACGCCGCAAGCTGCGCCTCAAGCTCGGCAACCTGGCATGCAGCACGCTCGGAGCGCTCGGCAGTCTCAGCACGGGCGGCGGCCAGCTGAAGCTCCAGCTCAGCAGACCTGGCGATGGCGGCCTCACTACGCTCGGCAGCCTCGGCACGCGCCGCCGCAAGCTGAGCCTCAAGCTCGGCAACCTGGCATGCAGCACGCTCGGAACGCTCGGCAGTATCAGCTCGGGCGGCGGCCAGCTGAAGCGCCAGCTCAGCAGACCTGGCGATGGCGGCCTCAGTACGCTCAGCAGCCTCGGCACGCGCCGCCGCAAGCTGCGCCTCAAGCTCAGCAACCTGGCATGCAGCACGCTCGGAGCGCTCGGCAGTCTCAGCACGGGCGGCGGCCAGCTGAAGCTCCAACTCCGCAGACCTGGCGACGGCGGCCTCTGTACGCTCAGCAGCCTCGGCATGCGACGCCGCAAGCTTTGCCTCAAGCTCGGCAACCTGGCATGCAGCACGCTCGGAACGCTCTGCAGTCTCAGCACGAGCGGCGGCCAGCTGAAGCTCCAGCTCAGCAGACCTGGCGGCGGCGGCCTCTGTACGCTCAGCAGCCTCGGCACGCGACGCCGCAAGCTGCGCCTCAAGCTCGGCAACCATGGCGTTATGCCGAGAAGCCTGCTGCGACACTCCGGCCCGCGCAGCTAACAGCTGCGCCTCAAGCTCCTTGGCAAGATTACGTGAGTGCTCTGACCGTTGTGATGCCTCTGCATGCGACGATTGAAGCTGCGCCTCCAGCAACGCGATTTGGGAAGCAAGGGCAGCCGCACGCTCGGCAGTCTCAGCACGGGCGGCGGCCAGCTGAAGCTCCAGCTCAGCAGACCTGGCGATGGCGGCCTCACTACGCTCGGCAGCCTCGGCACGCGACGCCGCAAGCTGCGCCTCAAGCTCCGCAACCTGGCATGCAGCACGCTCGGAGCGCTCGGCAGTCTCAGCACGAGCGGCGGCCAGCTGAAGCTCCAGCTCAGCAGACCTGGCGGCGGCGGCCTCTGTACGCTCAGCAGCCTCGGCACGCGCCGCCGCAAGCTGCGCCTCAAGCTCGGCAACCTGGCATGCA